GGCAGAGACAAGCACGAGAATTCCTGGAAGCATGGCACTCCACGAAGCATGCTATTAATAAACAAATTGAACTCGACCCCATATACATTCCACTACGGAGGAAACCCGGAAGTGAGGCAATCCATCGCAACGGACCCCAGAGTTTAAAAACCAGGCGGGAAAACACACCGACGCTTCATCAGAGGCTGCACTGAGGATGTTACCGAGCACGGTAACGAAACGTCTGCGGAACAAAAAACCAGCTCGGCGAGCCAACCAACCTCAATACTGTGACTTCAATTACAGAATTGTCGCCAATTTTTCACCGAGACCTTATTCATCCATACCCAAGTCTGCGGAATCTCTCCACATGGTGGGGTCCTAGGTGATCTGGAAGACTGTCACTAATGTAAAATTCAATTTTCGTAGAAATCAAGTACTGGTGTGCAAGTAACTGCAGCTTACGAATTCGACAGCGCTCCACCATTTGCAGGACAATCTCCTGTGGGTAAAGGCAGAACCTAAACAGTGCAAATTATAAGCATTAAATAGATTAGGAATATGCAGTGGAAACAAATCTTATCTGGATTTTATGTGTAAATTATGCAAGAGCACATTAAATTTCAAATGACTGAAATCTTAATTCGGGTTAGTTCTCTCTGTGGTGGTGGCGGGGTAGCACTGTTTGTAAAATTATTACACCACTACAAATAAACATTTCTACAGGCAGAATGGACAAAAATATAGGAGGTGAAGCAGATTTACCCTATTCCATTATAATTATGTCTGACATTGCATTTTGAAAACTAAGATCAAGAATTCCTTTATATTTAAAAAATCACAACTCTCTGGAATTAAGATTTCTATTTGTCGCATCTATTGCAAGACCCTCCCCCAGTAAATGATTTTCATACATTTAGAGACAGAGTCAAACAGCATAGAAACAGACTCTTCGGTCGAACTAGTCCATTCTCAAACTAAACGAGTCCCACTTGCCTGTGTTTGGCACATCTCCCTCCAAACCTTTCCTATTCATGTACTTATCCAAATGTCTTTTAAATGCTCTAAGTGTACCTGCATCACCACTTCCTCTGGCAGTTCATCCACATAAACCACTCCGTGTAAAAGTTGCCCCTCACATCATTTTTATGACTTGCTCCTGTCACCTTAAAAATATGCCCGCTAATTTTGAAGTCACCCACCTTAGGGAAAAGACCCTTTGTATTCAACTTCTCTGTGTTGTTCATGATTTTATAAATCTCTATTAGGTCACCTCTCAACCTCCTGCGCTCTGGTGAAAAAGGCCTCAGCCTGTCTAGCCTATTTTTATAACTCAAACCCTCCACTCCTGGCAAAATCCTGGTAAATCATTATTTAACCCTCTCCAATTTAATAATAACCTTCCTATAGTAGGGTGACCAGAACTGTGCACAGCAGTCCAGAAGAGGACTCACCAACATCCTGCACAACCTCAACATGACATCCCAATACCTATACTCAAAAGTATGAGCAATGAAGGCAAGCATACTAAACACCTTCTTAACTCCACCCTGCCTATCTGTGATGCAAATTTCAAAGAAATATGAACCTGAACTCCTAGATCTGTGTCTACAACAGTACTCAGAGCTCTACCATTAATTGTGTAAGTCTTTAACTTCTATGCGTCATTACATAGAGAGAACGAACAGCCTATTCTAAAGGCTCCACTAAAGGCTGTATCAGAATATTGTGCTAGGTAACAATGTAAATAACACAGATGCTGTCTTCCAATTTTTCCTCCTTGTAAAGGCATGTCTGGCATCTGCAACTGACATTCCACCTCCACAAGATGAAAAACAAACAAATGGATTCTTGCTGATTATGATTCAAAACAGTGCAGACCATGTCCTTGTTGCTTGGTTATTATGCTTCCGTCTGGCACGAACCAAAAACTTATTATCAAACCACTACACTAGAAATTAGAATGTACCTTTGAGAGTTGAACTGTTAACCGTGTCAAGTTAAAAGTCAACTGCAAAAATGTATAAATTCATACCGGAATCTATCGTGTCAAGTTACCACAGAAACTTAAACCTGAACAATGTTAAATGAACAAATGCAGTTGCCAAACATTGACAGACATATAATCTGACCTCATTAAGGATGGGTTGCTAATTCGAGTAAAAACTTAAATAACAGAAATGTTTGGAAGTTAACATTCATTTTTGAAGAAACCTTCTATTTAACAGAAATCTAGTGTACAGCTTTAGTTATCATAATTTAGACCTGCATTCACCAATAGACCAACAATATCATCGGTGAAACTTTAACCCTCCTGGGAATTAGTAATATTTTGGTCTATACCTTACCTTGGGGAACGCCAACCGTTTACTGTAGGCGCATGCACCATTAGCTCGTTGGAATTATACCCATCTTCATGGCCAGAGCAGCTTATTGTAACAAATCCAATTTTGTGTGGCATTCTGGAGTTCTATGCTGCAAAAGATCACAGATAAATCAAACACTGAGGTGAAAACTGAAAGTACTGCAGATGCTGCAAATCAGAAACAAAAACAAAAACAGAAGTTGCTGAAAAAGCTCAGAAATCAAAGTTAACGTTTCAGGTCCTGTGACCCTTCCTCAGTTCTGACTGTTCAGTTCTAAGGAAGGGTCACCAAACTTGAATTATTAACTTTGGATTTCTCTTCTCAGATGCTGCCAGACCTGCAGAGCTTTTCCAGCAACTTCTATTTTTGAAGCAAGTGGATGAGTTGTCTCACAGCTTTTCCATGCACAGGTTGCAAGGACTACGTATATTTTAACTGAGATGTAAATGGGAAAATTGAAGTTTGGATTACGGTGTTGTAGAAATATTTCTTGCAATTTGAAGCAAAAATGGAATGGTGAGCCTTCCTCCTATTGGTTTTACAAGAGCCTGTAACTTTTGAAGAAGCCTGATTTGATACTTTTGTAGCTAGCTAACAAAGTACCTTTTGAGTTGGGGGACAAAAAACTGTCTAACAACTGCTTTCAGATTGATTTTAAGTTGCAATTTGTCACAGAACTGAGAAAAATGCAGCAGCACTCCAAAGCCTAAAGTAAACTACATCTCTTTCTCCCCACTACTCTGAGAATGGAAGAAAACTAGCACTAAAAGAATGAAAAGAAGATATTCTAACTCAAGCAATAGATCTAAGTCCTTATGACCGGCTACCATACTGAAGATTACTCTAGCTGACAATATGGTATCATTGTCGAAGGACAAGAGGCTATGAGAAAGTCACCTCATTCCACTCTTTGGAATAAACTATTGATTCACAGAATTTGCCCATTGTTGCCTAATTTTTCAACCCACAACATTTCTGCAAAATTACTTGTTTTTAAATTTAAAATAAATGGATGTTCACCTGGCAGAGAGGACAGAGATAATTTCAGATGAATTGACAAGGGTGATGCGAAAAGTAGTCTTATCAATGAGTCCAGAACTAAACAGCACTGTCTTAACATTAGGGGTCACCCTCTTAGGATAGAGATAGCAATAAAGAGAATTTTTTTTCTGAGGGCTGTACAACTAACGAGGAAAGATGAGACAGGTTAGACCCATATCCTCTGGAACTTACCAAGAGCCAGAGGTCATTTAATTGAAATATACAAGAACCTGAGGGGACTTAACTGGGTGGATCAGGCTTGATTGCCCATAACCATTTAAAGAATATAATACATGGAAGAACCAATGGTTTTAAAAAAAAAAGCTAGATTCCATGATTAAAATAAAACACCAAACAGTTTTTAATGATACAAGTTTAGACAAAGCAAGCACAAGCAACAATGACTAAACATATATATTCAAGATTATGATTCTAAATGATGTAAGGTAAAAGACAATCCATTGGACTTGGCACAGTTTAGTTCTTTTTAACATAGCCTTCAAATCAATAAACATTTTTAACTATTTGTTCACAAGACGTGGGCAGTATTTATTGCCCAGCTATAACTGTCCTTTAGAAAGTGAGCTACTCTGAAATGCTGTCCCCTTTTATTCTGGGTCTGGCTGAGCAGGTCACTGCTCAGGTCTGTGGTCTATTCCTACCGTTAAACTCTCATGGTCTAAGTACAGGTGTCGCACACAGTGCACATCATGAACCACCAAATGCATGCAGACATCTTTTCTGTATTTAGACTTCTGTCATTAGAGCTACTTGATCTGACCCTGTTTTCTAGAACTCACTCACATATAAAACACATTTCTTTGGTTAAATCCAGCAGACACGTTTTGGCAGCTTTCCTCTGTTTACTCATTTAAATTCTCCGAAAAGCAGCTTCGTACAGCGAATGGCCAGATCCTCAAGTAATAATCTCCCATGGCAACCTTATGACTTTCTTGCTTCCAGAACTCTCTCATTTGGGTCAAAGGTTCAAACACTTTTTATGAGCACACAGATATGATAAAACAAAGTAAACAACCGCAAACTGAAACTAAACCTCTACGTTTTTAACTCTTAACCTAAGCCATAAGTTGGGCCTGTATTCTCCACAGTTTAAAAGAGTCGGAGGTGACGTAATTGAAACATACAAGATCCTGAGGGGATTTGACCAGGTGGATGTGGGAAAGGATGCATTCTCATATGGGAGGATCTAGAACGAGAGGTCATAGTTTAAAAACAAGGTGTCAACTAATTAAGACAGAGATGAGGAAGCATGTTTTCTCTCTGAGTCTTTGAAATTCCCTTCCTCAAAAATCAGCAGATGCAGAATCTTTAAACAGGTAGAAAGAGTCTTGATTACCAAGGAATGAAAGATTGTCAGGAATTTTCAGGAATGTAGAATGGAGATTAAAAATCAGTACAGCCATGATCCTATTGAATGGTGAAGCAAGGTTGAAGGGCTGCGAGGCCTACTCTCGCTCCACGTTCATATATTTGTAAATGCAGGGTAAACTTGCATACAACTTAATTCAAGGTGAAAATAAAAGCTCTCTGGCGCAGCTTTACACAATCTTTAAACTAAGCTCTTCGATTTTTAGTTTAGATGGGCCAAAATCTCTTCACCCATTGGGATTATTTCATGGCAGTGAGTACTGAATCAATTCAAATAAGTCCTTCGTCAATATAATAACCTCAAAAACTCTTAAGAGATGGAGGATTTCTACAAAGAAACAGCAATTAATTACATTACAATGATGACTTCTGTTGCTCAAGTCAGTAACGATATGTACTGCAACCCCACTGCTTGTCGGAGAAATGCCAACTTAACCTAAAGGCCTACTTGCAATCTACAGCGAAATTCATGGAATCCCTACAGTGTGGGAGCAGGCCATTCAGCCTATCAAGTCCACACCAACCCTCTGAAGAGCAGCCCATTCAGACCCACCCCACAACACTATCCCTGTAACCCTGCAGTTCCCATGGCAAATCTACATAGCCTGCACATCCCTGGACACCATGGGCAATTTAGCATGGCCAATCCAACCAAACCTGCACATCTTAGGACTGAGAGGGAAAACCTGAGAAACTGCAGCAAACCCTCGCAGACGCAGGGGGATTGTGCAAATTCCACACAGTCTGTCACTGTGAGACAGCTGTGCTGACCACTGAGCTGCCATGCTGCCCAAAACATTGTTGCCTTGTATCTCCTCTAAGCCTGCTGCACTTGATCCCTCCAACAAGAAGACTGGACAACTCCTTTTCTGTCTGACCTCAGTCCTCAAGCACAGTCAGCAGGATTCAAACCTACTGAAGGAAACCCCAATAGATCTTAAGTCCATCACTTTAACCACTTGGCCATGACTACAAAACTACCTTTAAGTGACTGAGAGTATCACAGATGACCTTGTTTCTTCTTTGTACGCTGACAATATTTTGGTACAATTCTACTTTGATCCAAATAGATCTTCTATTTTATACATTGTGTAAACGTGAGTCACTTATCCCTTAGCGAGTAATTGTTAACTAAACAGTGTTGTTTACTAATTAAAATACAACTTCCAAATGGCAAAAACAATTCCTTCAGAAGCAAATGACACTTTCAACTTTAAGTACCTAGGTCAAACAACAACTTTGAGAGATCAATAGTTAACTCAAATGCGTAATATAACACATTACAAAAGCTTACAAACATTAACGACCTAATCTGTTCATGTTATATTAGGTATGTAAAATAAAACAGGGCATCACGGTGGCTCAGCAGTTAGCACTGCTGCATTACTGCACTTGGGATCTGGTTCAATTCCACCCTCGGGCAACCGTCTATGTGGAGTTTGCACATTCTCCCCGCGTCTGCATGGGATTCCTCTGGGTGCTCCGGTTTCCTCCCACAGTCCAAAGATGTGCAAGTTAGGTGGATTGAGGATGCTAAATTACCCACAGAGTTCAGAGATGTGTAGTTTAGGTGCATTAGCCATAGGAAAAGCATGGTTATAAGAGTAGGGGGATGGGTCTGGGCGGGCTGTTCTTCAAAGGATTGGTGTGGACTCATTGGGCCAAATGGCGTATTTCCACAACGTAGGGATTCTATGAAGTTCTATGGAGTAAAACAAACAACTGCAGATGCTAGAGATTGTTAAAATAAAAACAAATTGCTGGACAACGAGTTCAGATGAAGTGTCACCAGACTCAATACATTAACTCTGCTTTCTTCATGCAAATGCTGCCAGATCTGCCGTTCCTCCAGCAAATTCTGTTTTTTATTGAATATATACAGTGAACAACTTGAACATGTAAAGTTTAAAAAAAACTGCCAAGGTGTAAACTAAACAATCCACATTACGAAAATCAGGTTATGCAGAAACCTGCAGAAAAAAAAACTACTTTTTGGCCATAGCTACGTTGAATCTATTCAATTTAATTGGTCCAAACTTCAATTTACCAATATTGTACTTTAAATACAAAATAGGGATGTAACTGCCAACAAACTCAACTTAAAGGGAATACAACTGCTTAAGTGCTTTCAGAATTGAGTTGAATAGATCAAACAAAGTTGACAGGGTCACATTCACAACATTAAACCAACTCACATCATAGTTCATTACCATCTGCCTTTGTCAAAATAATCTCCAGCAAATGGTTGTGTGACTGTGCTTGCAAAAAGGCAGCCTGGAAAATCAAAACAAAAATATCAGCTTTACTACCGAGTCACCAGATTAGCTGGGAAACAGCTGCTACTTAAACAAGTTTTCTACTGGTGAAGAAGGCACCAAACTTCAGAAATGACAGGAAAATGGTATATGAAGCACTACAAAACATAATAGTACCATTTGTACAGTTGAATAGTTTACATTTTAATCAAAAACAATAAAGTGATGGCGATCTCATGAAAAAACTCAGTGTACACGACATGCAACCAATTCACTCAACTGCAATGCGATCCCATCATACCACTTAACAAGTTTAGAGAAAGAAAACGTGTTTCGTGAAGACCATGTTGCAGAGTTGATGCAGCACGAGAGAAGATTTTCAAACGTTCTTCGCCGACTGGAACAGTAAAATAAAATCAACAAAGACGAAATTTCAAAGCAGCACCAGCGGAGACCTGCCTTCACTGAGTCTGACCTGCACCAACTCCCTCCTCCCCCAAAAAACCCTCATTATCTACACTCGCTGGCCCTGAATAGCAATACTGAATTTGCCAGGCTCCCATATCGGGACAGAGTCACCTCTGGCTCAGAGTCGCTAATTTGAGGGGGAAAAGGAAGAGCATCCTCAGCAAAGGCCAAACCAATGAAGCAGCAGGAACACCCTGCGGTGCCACCAAATGCTGGAACTTTCCACGAGCCTCATGGAACGGCGCCACACTTCAGAGGCCCCGAAGCGGCCCGGGCTCCGATCACTCGTTCTTACAAACATATACAACGTGGATTATTTTATTTCAGAAAGATAATAAAAAGTAGAAGTTAACCTGGCTTGTGGCACCACGCTCCAACAGGCAGCCGGCAAGACAGCTCAGCGCTACATACCCTACCATCAGCCCGCAGCCGCCACCATATCTCCATAACCACCAGCATCAACAGTCAGCACTGCGCAGGCGTCAACTCACCCTCTCACAGCCCTCTGGGAGTTGTAGTCTCCGCATGGCGGCCTTGGCGCACGCGCACCTCCATTGAAACAGGAGTTGCTGGAAAAGCTTTGTAAACTCTGAGATAACAAGGTGTAGAGCTGATGAACACAGCAGGCTAGGCAGCATCAGAGGAGCAGGAAAGCTGACGTTTCGGGTCTGGACCCTTGTT